ATCTCGCGGGCGCTCCGGGAGAAAGAGAAAATCGAATCTCGCGCGTCTCCCAGGGAAGTTGCGAGATCGTGGTATAAGTTCGGCGATCGATAAAATCGTCGTGTAATTTCGTTCGGATCACCACCGGAACCGGCCGGCCCGACGGTGCCCTCTTTCTCCGTCTCTCTTCCTTTCTCCGTTTCGCTTTTTCGCAAATCGGCGCTCCCACGTCCCGGCGGAGTCACGAGCGCGCTTTCACGGCGTATCTGCGCGGCTATAAAGATACGTCCCTTTTCCTTTTTCCGAGTCGACGGACGGACCCGAGCGCATAAAGTCGGCTCTATGAGCAGCTGATAGACAACTCGATCCGGCACGACGTGAAAGAAAACGATCCTGAGCGGAGGGTCAAAGGGGCCAGTCGTGGCGTGGCTCGGCTCTCCGCAGAAATCCTCTCCTCAAAAAGCGCTAATAAAGTTGCGCCAAGTAATCCCAGATGTTGCGGCAACATCACGCCCCCCCCCCCTCTCTCTCTCTTTTCTCCCTTTCCCTATCGGACTTGTGTAAATTTCAATAATAACAGGACGATGCCTCGACGAAGGAGGCGTAGCTGAACTTAAAGCCGGTGGCGCGAGATTAGACGTATAATCCTTCGGCTTCCAGCAGCAGCCGCGCAGCACCGCTGCCTTGTACCCAACTGGCACCTTCTCCCATTCGTAAACAGTCATTATCGATTAGCAATGGCGGCGGGATTATTTCCTCGCTATGCGATGCAATGCGATGCGAACGCGATGCTCGATAGAAAATCAAATACCCAAGCAGCAACTACGTGTTCGAGCGAAACTCACAGAAAAGGTCAACGTGTGTCGATGCATGTCCGGCCGAACGATGGAAATCGAGCCGATCATATTGCAACCGTGTTGCCGTGGAAGGTTTAGTACGCACGAGTATCGCCGGGAATAAATACTCGCGCGATACAGACGACAGATAAAGCTAAGGCCGTTTCGCTAAATAATAAAGCGGCCATAAATTTGATTTTTTGTGCGAACAAAGAGAGCGAGGGAGGGGGGGGGAGGGGGGAGAAGGAGAGAAAAAGAGGAGAAAAACCGGCGAACACGGAGCGTCTTGTGGAAGTTGCAACCTGTATGTTTAGTGACTCGAGAAAAATCATCGCCGTGCAACTGATTATACTCCCGTGTAATCCGCGTGCGATCGAGCGCATTCATGGTCACCCGGCGATTAATCCTCTACGGTGGATATTGACCAACGCCTTGACATGAATCGCGAGATCGCGTTGGTGCGTGCAACACACGGGGTTGGCATCGGGATTAGGGGGGGGGCGGGGGACTTCGTTAGCGAGCGATTGTAACCGAACACGTGTGAAACCAGCCTGCGAGAGTTGAGGCGCGAAGTGCGAGATTCGACGGGAAAAAATGAAGATAAAAGGGAAAAGACGAATCGAAATTCTCTCGCTTGAAATGCAACACGAAGCGAATACGAGATCTACAGGAATCCGGTGTTTGCACCGTAAGCGTCGCGATCGTTTATCCTTTTTCTACGTAGGTAAAAAGCATTTTGTACTTGTGTCGAAATCGGTCCTTGTTAACATTTTTGTGTTTAAGTTTTTAACCATACCTGTGTGTCGATTTAACGTTTTGTGTTTGTATTATTTTCTGTTATGCCGATATTCGCCATGTGTAAGTTAAAGTAATACATTTTATACTTCAGTGTCAATTAACTTGTTAATTTTGCGCCACATTTTAACATATTTACTTTGTGTTAAATTAACACAAACATTGGAATAAAGTTTAGAACATGTGAAATATTTTTAATTCAAATTTAACATAAAATACTTCACTTGTGTATCTAAATTTTTGTATATATATATATGTATGCATCACGTATAATACATCATCTCCTTACATATCAATAAAATAACGACCATAGATTACTTGTGAAAAATTCGTTTCCGTTAAAGAAACGTTGTTTTATGTTGAAAGTGGAGAAATTGCGAAAATCGGCTGGAAAGGACGAATGAATATCACAATAATACCGACAACCGAAGTCTCAAACGACGCACGGTTCGGATTATTCCGTAGCTAACCCACCGCCCTCATCCGACATTTGTTATTCCACTGTACCATCCGTTCACCCGCTTGTCGTGTCGCTTATTATCGCGAGCGCGCTTTCACGAGACGATATTTCAATTTTCGCCGTTTCCTCAACGGTCTCGCGCGAGCAAGGCTGGCCGACCCTCTCTCCCTCTGTAACGCTCGTCGACGTAATTCCGTCCCACGCCGGGCGTCCCGTGCATTTGTAATTCATGGAGCTTCATTGAAAAAGTATCGTCAGGCGTTATGCTAATGCGAGCGCGGGGTATTATTCACGGCCGTATGTCACTGACCACCTACCTACCCGCGCCCGGTGTAATTGAATAATAGTACGCCATCTCTCTCGCTCTCTCTCCCGCTTTCGTCGCGCGTTCTCCCCCCTCCCCCTCCCCCCGTCTCTGCCTTTCTCTTTTCGAGATTAGATTTTCCCTGCCTCTTATCTCCCTCGGCTGTCCGTCCGTCTGTCCGTCGTTGTCTATTCGTTCGGCCGAGGCGCGCGTCTCGAGGAATCATCCGCGAGATTCGTGCGTTCGCCGTTCCTCCATCGACGAGCTGCGCCGCCGCAGACATCCTCGCGAGTACGCGCACGTAGAAGTATTACGAGTCGGGACGATATTAAATTATAATTCGCGGCACGCTCTACCGCGTTACCTCATACTTTCCTTCGCTATTTACAGGCCGAGGCTCGCTCGCTCATTCGTGCTTCTTGCTCTAGCGAGAGCTACGAACCGGCGCCGAGGGAGGTGCGCTCGCGATTACGGCCGTGAGAAATCGCCGATGTGGCAGACGCCGCAACGAGGACGACGATACGCGCGCGCGTGTGTGTACGTGTGGATAGGCCGCGGCGAGAAAATTGAAACGTTCCTATGCAGATTACGCGAGAGGCCGGTATACCCGGCCGTTGAGTAATACCTGACGAATGGTCCTTGCTACAACGTCGCGGCACTTTGCGCGTCGAAGCACGCCCTTTCCTCCGTGCGCGCCGATATTAGCGGGCTCGAAGCGGAGGCGATCACGTCGCGGAGAGAAAGAGCGCAGTTAGTCGGTCGTCGGGGCGATTGAAAGCCATTCACGCGGTGGGATATTCGGCCGATCGGATCGTCGATCTTCCTTCTCGCCGCGGAGGATAAATCGCTACTCCGGTATCTCGTTAGGAGGAATCCTCTCATGAGCGGTTACGTCGTTATTTCTCCGAGACGCGCGGATTTTACGAGTCGCCGGCCAGCATCACCGTTGATCAGGCTCGGGGGCAGTTTACGCCATTCCCCGGTCTGCCGGTGCAAACTCGGTTTCATTGTTAAACCGCCACTGCCACCCACAACCATCTGTTACTTTCTTTCTGCGGGTTAAATCACCACTGTGCCTACTACAGCCCGGGTTACATATGTACGCGGCTAGGCGTGGATAAATAAACGGGCCCGTGCACTTCGCCTCGTCGATCCTCGAGGAAACCTCGGTGATGTCGTAAGACGTTCGGGAAAGAAAGAGATAGGGAGGGAAGGAGAGGGAGAGAGAAAGAGCCACAATGTAAATAATAGAAAATGCGATTTCGAATCGTGCGTCGGTTCGTCGTTCGTTCCCTCGACCGAAGTGGAAACGGGCCCGAATAAATAGCCGCGCGTGATAAATAGACGATACGATAAAGGATACTTTTCGACATCGCCGGCAGAAAAGAAATCCTTCTCCTAGCTCTCGCAACGCCACTCTCGCGCGCGCGATACGTACGCTCTTACGCAACGCGCCGCAATCGTTTTAATTCCAGATCGGCTTTCTGATACGATTCCGCGAGTACAATCGATCATCGCGCACGACGTGATCGATACGCCGAGTCAAAGGCCGGAATGCGACGAGCGGTTTAATTCGCGACGGGCTTCTTCGCTATTTATTACGCATTTTTCGTTACTCGCGTGAAATCTCTCCACCTTCTTCGTATCGTCATGCATATTTCGAGAGAGATACCGGCAATTGCATCATCGCGATTAAATCGATGCTTGCCTATCGTGGAAGGATTTCACGCGATTAACGGAAATAATGATCGTGCTTCTTCGGCTGTACCTCGAAATTTCTCGATTTCGATTTAATTTAATGAATTAATTAGTCAACTTATTATTATTGTATCACCGGGATGGTACTCTTGAAAAAAAGGTGATCATGAGATATACATTCTTCACCGTCGGGATTAATTACATGCGCTAATCAGACAAAGGGGCATATATGAAACCGGCGATATGATGTGCCAAATGTAGCCGATTAAACGCCAACTAACAATAATATTATATCAACATTATAATTTCTTACTCAATATAAGTGCAATATAACATGCGTTGTATATAACAGTTACATTGTCAAAAGGGAAATTATAACATTGTAACGTCACCGTTAGTTAGTGTTCACTGGGGGGCGAACATTGGCAATTATATTGATCACGTCTATGATATTATATTGCATTATATTACATTACATTACATTATCGCGTACGTAATATTCTCCCAACATGCGTGATCAATACAATCTCCAAGGGTCGTCCACGTTTACCGCATCGTGTGGAGCCGGCTTAGGACTGTGTCTAAAAACATTCACGGAATCATGAAACATATCGACGTATGCCTCGAATGTCTGTTAGACGAAATGCAAATCCGATGTGTACAATTAACCGTAATCTGCGGAATTCTACGCGCGATAAATCAGTGGAGTGGATCACTTTAGAAAGCACGTGTAGGCTAAAGAACGTTAGAATTGCGGAGCGTACGATATTACAGTTAATTACGAATACACGCGTTCACCGCGAGGAGCGGTACGTCGTGGCTCTGCAGAGGCAGAACCTTCTCGCCGAACTCGCCTACGAACGGCGAAGGTGAGGCCACGAGGAACGCCAGCACGAACGTACAGTAAAGTATCATAGGTTGTACTCACCGGGATAGCCTTCCGGGATGACTATTTCCGGTCCCACTTTGACGTCGTGACGGTAACGATGCATCAGCAGCGTGGCCGTGACTCGGAGCGATCTCTGCTGTTGCTTGTACAGCAATATCGGCCTACCGCCGGCACCTTCGACCCTGACCACCCTCGGCAGTGAGAATCTGTCCAGGAACTCGCGCAGCGGCATGAAGCCGCCGGCGGAACCCGCGGCCTCCGCGGTCGCCTCCCTCGAGCTCGGCAACGAGTCCTCGCCGGTTCCGGTGGCCTCGCCGCTCGACAACGTCGAAAATTCGCCACTCGACGACATCGCGCGCCGCGGTTGTCTCTCCTCGGTCGTTCACGGTAGCCCGCACACACTTCCTGCGCGCGATCTCCGCCGATATTCACGCTTCTTCGCGCTGCCGCGCATCGATTTCCCCGCTCTCAAGAACGTCCCCGTGAGCGTCGGTGACCCTTTATCCGCGTGCGAAGACACGAGAGCGCCGCCTGAACGCGGAAAGAAATCGTCGCGTGAAATAGCTGCGCCCGGTCTTCGCGCTATTCGGGGAACGTTAGATCTATCCGAAATCTGCGATCGCTTCTCTCGGTCGGGGGAGGCGATCCTACTTTAACACGTCGAATGTCGGGGGCGATTAATCGAATCTGGAAAATGTTCAGCGTTATATGGCTAATGGGGGCTAATGAAACGAAGTAAGAAAGTATATGCACTTCGAATTACATTTTTCTGCTTTGTTACCGTTATTTCATCCATTCGTTAGTCGTTCATTAAATTCAGCAAAAGATACGAGGAATATTTTTTTATAGATACAATAAAAATACTTTTATGTACCTAGTTTTTTTCTTTCCATTGACTCTGTATTGATTGTACGGTCGATCTTTTAAACACGATTAATTGCACTTTGCATGTAACCTAATGAAACTCGACGATAATAACGGCCACTGATAACTGTCGCGATGTAAACAAGGATATTAAAATCGATCTTTCCCTCTTTCTCACTTGCTCTTAAAGCGCGACCTCCGTGTAATAAATTCAGGACGCGATCTGTAATCCGCGAGGAAGGAGTCGCGAATAAGAACTCGATGAGTAGAAGGCGCGAGCGCTACGAATCGAGCGGCAAATTCTCGCGACAGCACGCGCGACCAGCTGCGCGTTTCCTGCTCGCGTAATGGTATGCATCCGGGCGACGTCGGAGCGCGAAGTGCGCGCTCCATCTCCTTCCTCCTCGTCGTTCTCCCTCGGATGCATCGCACCCGCAACTTCAACCTACACCCGCACCCCCGATGGAATTCGTCATTGCCCTCGCGAGGCACGGCAGCCTTGACTGTGATGCCGCCGACGGCGAACCGCGCGGTCTAATGAGTGATTACGCTCCGGGCGCCTCGGCGATGACGGTGGTGATGATGATGATGAATTTATGACGACGATTATCTGTCCGTGGCGTACCGGTGTGTCGCCACCGGTGTTTGTCTTTCAGATGAGCGAGGCTCCTGCTCTCTCTCTCTCTTTCTTTCTCTCTCTCTCTCTCTCTCTCTCTGTGTTCGCGGGGGAACGTGGGCGGAATAGCGACGTGGCCTCGCTCTCTGTCACTCGTTGCGAAATGTCGCGTCTCTCGCCTTTGAAGTCGCGACGGGAGAAATACGGCGTGGCAAGTGACGAGCGAAGACAGTATGCAAAAGACACAAGAGACGACGAGTGATCGGTCGCGAAACGCGACGGTGGTAGTGAATCGGACGACTCGATGATTGATTGACTGTTGATGCTCCTTCTATTCCCCCTTCCCTCCTCCCCCCGCCCTCCTTTCGTAACTTTTAATCCGATCGACAATCTCGAAGAATTCCGTCAGACTTCTCGCGTCTGAATCTCGTCGTGATTTTCACTCGATCGATCGAATCACGTCCACGTGCGATCGCGCGCCGAGAGCGGTTGTTACTTTTTCGCGATTCCGCAGCACTTTCTCTCGGTAACTAATCCATCCCGATCCGTCTCGCCCTCCATTTCCATACGCGCGCGCTACTCTACACCGTGTTCCCGGGGATTTTCACGTAATTAGGAACGATGATTTGTGTCTGTTACCGGTTCCACGAGAGCGACGTCCATCGTCGAGCATAATTTATTTACCGCCCCGTGCGCCGCAGTCCATAATGCACTTTCTTGGGTGACTTGCACCTGCGACATTCCACTACGCCGCGCGTACTTCGCGGCGATATTGCGCACATCGCATACGAATGACGAGAATTAATATTCCACATATGTAAGATATGATGCGCGCTACACAACTCTCCCGGCATTATCCGCGATTCCGGTCGTGAATACGCATGACAGAGAGAGAGGGAGAGAGAGAGAGGTGTTCATTTTTTCCCAGTACATGTCCTCTAAGGACTTTACAATTTTAAAGTTGATAATAATAATAGTTAATAATATATAGTTTTAACTAATATTTAGAGAATAAATAAAAGAAAGAGTATACAAAATCTAAGAAAGTAAAGAAACCGGGTAGACCTGCACATTTGCATTTTATATATTTTTGTATATCACGGATATGTATATTTATACAAAAACGTATTTATATAATTTTACATGTTCGCGAAGTACAAGACAATTAGTACGTGCAATGACGAAGTTAAGAAAATTATAAATGCAATGAAGAAAAGAATAACAAAAAAAATTGAAAAATGAATACTTACACGGGGAAAAAATTAGTCTTAAAAATTAGGAATAGATATTCTCATATATAAGCAAATATATCATAATCTTCTCAGAAGACTTTAAGGCCGGTATTCATAATCAGATCTTATATTTAAGACTGTCTTAAGTCCATCTTTGATGCTTCGTCAATAAAATGAGCCATGCATTATTTGAAGATAAATTTAAGCCAGTCTTATACATATATACAATATTTTATTATATATATATATAAGATCCAACTGTGAATACCGGCCTTAGTTTTAATTTAATTTAATTTATATTCATGCAAGTATTGTTTGAACTCGATACAAGACTAAAAATTTTCTAAAAAGATTATAATATTCTTGCATATATATAAGAATATTTATTCTTGATTTAAAACTCCTTTTTTTCTATGTAGAGTGAGAGAGAAAGAGTGAGGCAGGGGTGGGGGGGATTCTTTTCCCTTCGGGACCGAGATTTCCTCGTTGGAGACCCCGGATAGAGTCGGTCCCCTCGTTACACGCAATAGAATGTTTCCACCCGCGAGACTTCTGTAATCGCCATGTAATGGGCTTTTAATTACCCGTGACTAAAGCGACCATGACGAAGGTATCGCGAATTATTACGACGCGGCCGACTACGCGTGCGCATCTTAATAGAGCCTCGTTTTTCCGTGTTCTTTTTTTCTCTCCTTTTTCCTCCCCCTCTCCGTATTCCTCCCTCGATAGAACGCGCGCTCGCGGTCGCGTGTTTGCTTTACGGAGGTCCGTCGCTTCCTTAGTATGCACCTTGCGCGAACCGTTCACTTGCTATTCCGCGCCACGATCTTCTTCAGAAATCGCGTTCCTTCCTTCCACTCCCTCCCCTTCCGCCCTCCTCGCATCCTTCGCTTCAAGCTGTACACTCGTATACGCTTGCAACGGAGCAATTATACGTTTCGACCGAAACTCTCAAAGGGATTTGCGGCGGTGGCACCGAGCGACTCTGTGCGTGCTTGTGTGTGACGAAACGGGCTTCCTTTCGAGACTTTTCGATTTCGCCGTCCGAAGGTTTCGCCTCCCCCTCGCCTCCCTCCCTCCGCTATTGTGCGCGTCTCTACAAGGATGACATTCGTCACGTCGCGACAGCCGTCAAAAAGTGCGTCCGTGCGTCTCTCTCTCTTTCTCTCCTCGTACATAATGCGAGTACAACCGAGCCCGGGGGAGGGAAGGGGAAGCGAGCGGCGCGGGGTATTCCCGCGATATCGGGTAATTAAGTCGCATTCACGCGCGGCGAAGTCAAAGCTAAAAAGCGCGATGCCGCGGCGCAACGCGCGCCGCGCGTTCGAGTGCATAATAGATCGTGCGAAGTGAAAGTGCGGAGATTTAGCAATTCGCCCATTAGCGAAGCATTCTAAGCTTGGAAATGTTTTACGTTTTCCACGCGGCTGTTGTTGCAGACGTCCCTGACGTAATTTTTCCTACACACAGGCGAGACCTATCCGTGCCGGCCGCGCGCCGAACGCGTAATCCGCGCGCCGCGATTTTAATCGCGCTTATGAAAGTTTCTGCATCGCGCCCGCGCGTGCAACTTTCTAACGGTATGATGATTAATTAATTAATTAATTAAGCGCACCAGGAACAAAGCGGCGTTCTTTTAATCGGGGCTCTCTAATTTGAGTACAAGTCGATAAAGAACCCGTCGGATTACCGTCGACGCGGTGAAAGCAAATCGTTCGTGCGCGATATCGAGGACCGTCGGTGATTATCGATTAAACTCCGAACGCCCACAAAGCGTCGTGAATCATAATTCGAGGCCCAGATTCCAGAATTGCAATTTGCAGCGAGACTTAATGACGGGTTAGAGCGACGCTGTGGGGAGCGTTAAAATTGCAATTCTACATGCATCTTTCATTGTATGCATCGTATTACATCTTTCATCGTACATATATCTTGTACACTGTTAACCATATATCGCCAAAGATGGAGGTCCACGTTGAAGTGAATCCTACGTAATTACGAGAGACATTTCGAGATTGGAAATTCTCTTGCAAAGTACCTCCAAATGTGGAGGCGCGCAGAAATATTTAATCTTAAATCAAGAATAGATATTCTCATATAGCGGGAATATCATAATCTTAGAAATTCTAGTCTTGAATTGAGTTTAAGTAATACTTGCGTCAATATAAATTCAATTAAATCGAAGCTAAAGAGAACTTCTAAGAAGATTATAATATTCTCGCTTATATATGTGAGAATTCTTAATTTAAGACTAATTATATTTTTTCCACGTGCTATCGCGTAGTACCTCCGAATTCGAGGTACCAACCTCGAAACGTCGCTCGTAATTGCGTACGGGTTTTTACTCCAAGGTGTGCCTCCAACTTTGGCGGCACACAATTAACAGTGTATTACCTCTCTCCTGATAAACAACTATTCCGTTCGCGTTATTCTATATCCGAGGACGCGGGCGAAAGTGAGAGAAACCGATTGTCGATGGACGCGATTCACTCCGGAATGCTCCGTTTTATCGGCGTCGAACGCGCGTCGATCCCCGCGATTTCTCGAGCACGATCGCGCTAATCGAGTCCTCAGGCTCGAGTCCGTTAACCAGGGCCTTGTCACTCACCTCGTCCATCGTCTAAAACTCATCCGTCTTATCGTCGTATCCATCCATACGCGAGTACGCGTTTACGAAGCCATCTCACTCGCGCGTGCGATAAACGAGATCGACGTGTCCCACGTGTCGACGCCCAGCGACGCTCGATCACGAAGCCGGAGAGGAGCCGTGTCCTCCTCCTCCTCCTCCGTGGATAACGTCAACGTCGGTCGCGGATGAAAACTGGAACTCCGTCGCGATGGGAAAAAAATCGGCCGATCCCCGACACGCGCGCGGGCACTCGTGGCGACGAGGTATCGTGGCGCGCGGAGCACGGCCGATCGAGACTCTGCCAGCCGAGCGAGCAGCCAAGCAACCAACCAGCCGATCGATCGGCGGTCGATTGATCGAGGCGTAGGCGATTGCGAGAGCGCGACGAAGGAGCGCCCCGACGCTCCGGACGAGATCGCGCGACTAAAGCGCGCAAACCGCGGGAGACGCGGTCGAGCGCTAACTCCCCGAGTCGTGTCTCCCCACTTCGGGATCCCCACAGTTCAAATAAACTGTATCGCGCAGGCTCGCGTGCTCTCGGGAATCTCTCGACGGACTCGCCGGTGACGGTGTGTCTTTTCCCTACCTTCCTCTCTCGACTCGGCGCGCGCTCCTCTCGCCACGACCGGCCGCTCGGAACTTCCGTTTCCCCGCGAGCGCGTCCGTCCGCTCGGCGATTTCCCGATGTTTCGCGCGCGGTGAAATCCGCATCGGCGAGGTCGCGCGCCGTGACGAAACTGCGGTTCCGACGTTACGAGCGAAATTGCGACCGACCGACGATCTGCATGCTCGCCGGGCGTGCAGAATCTTTCGCCTCGATCCGTTTATTCCGCCTAGATTTTTTTTTTTTTTTTTTTTTTGACAAAATGAAGCGTCGTGTTAACAGCATGGAAAGTGTCGCAGAGCGTTATTTTGTGGTTGCCGTTGAGCAGTCTATAATCTAGATTGTCTTTCCGTCTTCCGTTGGAATTTTTCTTTTCAGCTTTCGACTCTGGACTCCAGCAGGCTCGCCCCAACGACAACGATAACTTAAGTTCGACGACAGTTATCGTTACGTTGTCGCAGCTTTTCTTTTTATTGCACAGAGTGTGCCAGATGGACAAACTTAGTGAGGGCGTAGAACGGATTGAGGTGAATGGAAAAGTCCTTTACCATTTTGCGAACTGCGTACAGAATTTCGACTTATTAATTATCGAAAATGACCCATGCAGCGTAAATATTCAAAATACATCATGGAGATGTCCCGAGGATATTTCAACATTCTGGGGTGACCTCGAACGTCTCTGGGGTGACTTTCGAACATTTGTGCTGTATGGGTAGAGGTTTCTTTAATGAATAACTCAGAAAGTTGCGTGTTATTTGCAGAATGGTAAAAGACTTTTTTGTTCAGAATGGTCTAATCTGCATACGACAGCTGTTGTACCTAGCATCAGACATCAGTATATTGAACCTTGAAATGTCGCTAGGTACAACAGATGGTCGTATATTTGCAGATTGGGTGACCCTGAACAAAAGAGTCTTTCATCATTCTGCAAATATCAGGGAAATTCTCCAGTTATTAATTAAAGAAGCCTCTATATGTGGTCATTTCCAATAATCGAAGTTTGCCAAGGTTGATCCGGGACACCCTGTTTATTACATCTGTACAACGACAACGAACCTGTCGTTAGAAGTTACAGAATAAGTCTGTCCGCTCCTATCGGCGAAGCGACGCGATGATAGCCGCGATATTTGTCCGCGTAATTAGCGGTTCGCGCGTTACACGCGCCGCGTACAACCAATTACGGTGCGTTACTACCCGGCAATTTGGAATTTCACGTTGAATTCGAGAGACCCGTGACCGGTAACGGTGCGTAACCCTCGCGAAGTGCACGTTCGCGAACCCGAACAAACTGGAATGCCAAGATCCGCGCGCGACTTCTCAGGCCCCCGACGCGTCGGCCGATTGGCCGTACCGACTATCGGAATATCGTCGTCCTGCTCGTCGACGGTCGTCCGAGACGATCGGCAATTACAAAGACGCACGGGCGCGTAACAGTTAATATCGGAGTTATTACAGGTATCGAGACAGGATTCGCGTCGTCGACGACTCGGACGACTCGCACGCTCTCTCTATGTTCGCCATATGTTCTCGCCGGGAGCAGATGGCGTGCCACTTTCCGCGAATCTCCGCCGATGGACCGCTACGCGCGGGTTACGTAACAATGATGGCTCGTCCCGAATCGAAGATGCAAAACTCGATTTCTTCGCCCCCTCCTCCCGCTCGGTTTTCGTAACTGTACTCGCGAATAAGTGTGCCGCTCGCTCGGACCTACGTCACGATTCGTTCGAGACTAGTTTCCACGGATTATTATTTGGTCATGAGCAAGCCCACACGTACGCGACGTTCAAATGGTACCAGTTAACCTCGGGGAGGAAGGTATGTCTCTCCGATAGTGAGCGAGAGATCCCGTCGCGGCCTACGTGACCGCCTCGCTACCCCGAGGAAAGATCGCTTATCTCGCTTACGTGAGAAATATTTGTTATTAGCCGCTTTTCGTGAACGACAAAGTACGCCTGCAAGATCGACAGGACGCGATAAACTGGAAACCAAAATACCGAACACGCGGAGATTCCGCTTATTTTTCTTGTTTCTAAGTCTGAAAATGTTTCAAATATATTATCAAAGTGTTTCTAGAACAATTTTTTAGATATTAAATCGCGTTAAGAAATTTTGCGAGTTTTTGGAAAATATTTTCAAAGCATTTTTTGGAGTATTTACGGTATATTAAATCTTTCTCACTTTTCTTAATATTAAGTATGTAAATTAACTCGGTGCCTCTGTCATCAAACATCAAGATTTGTTTATCAATAGAAGGTGTATAATTTTGATCATCGTCTGAAAAATAAACCGAGTACAGTAGGATTTCCCAGCCCATATTAAAAATAGCGTCCTTTATTTCTTTCTTTTCTGCCGCGTGAGGTCAGTTGTTGTCGTGGAGCCTTCTCGAAATCTTCTTGAAATCTCTAATTTTTCTTTGCAAGCTGAAGAGCCGAACAAGTCATTTTTGCAGCAATCTTTCCTTGCGGTTGAAATGCAAAAACGAATGCAGTACCGAATATGCATTTTATCGATAGCAATATATTTCACTACAATTACATATTTTCGAGTTATTATTGATCGTTCCGCAATGTTACATGGTGTTTTGTAAACAGATGGCAGCTCTTTAAAACCACAATTGAGCAGAAACATATTTAGATTTAAAATGCTCATTGGAAACGCGTAAAAAGGCATCGAATTAATTTACATGCCTGATGAATTACGTTTTGAACTCTCCAGATTTCGTGGAATTCTACGTTAGACTGGCCGTATTTTCACTCGAAGAAATTTAGGGAGAATATTTTAATGTTACATTTTTGAAGAAAAAAAGAAATCAAACGCAAATACCACCACGGATTCACGAACGAGCTCTTCTTGCTTCGTTAACGCGTACTTTCGCACGCTTAGCCGTACGCGCACGCTTAGGCATCCGATAATTAGCCCGGAACGCGGGAATATTAATGTCTGTGTTTAGGGGAGAGAAACCGCGCTCGCCGGCGCGCGAGTGTCATTGTCTCTTCGTAATGTCGTCGTTCCACCACGGAATGATTATTGACTCGAGGAACGCTGATTACAGCGACGGGGCACGAAACGCCTCATTGTCTTCCCCGCGGAGAGCGCCATTAATATCTTTTCGCTCTCAGCCGCAGCGCGAGGGTCAAGGGTCGGTAGGAAATATCCGCGCGACTATGCGGACTCTGTACAGCGGATGCGTTTTGAATTTCATCGGGGCGATATCACGATTGCGTTCCGTCTCTTCGCCGCGATGCGCCTTGCATTTACGGCCGACGCGTGACTGTCATTTTCTCCTGCGCCGTCGTTGAGTGAAAAGAAAAAAAGAAGGGAAAGGGCGAGAGACGCGAAGGAAAAGAACGACGCAACGTTACGCATAGACGATGCGTCGACGATGATCTCGTCGGTTTCCGTCTGGCGGTCGCGATTTCCAGATAGAGGAGAGTAACATCGCCGATGTGTTATTAATGCGTTCACAGGCTTCAACACGTTTTCTTTGACACACTCCGGAACGCAGTCGACGCCCGATGCGAATACTTGATGTTGAATAATCGACGTTGGATGCAATCCGAAGTATGTCGATAAGAAAAATAATAATAATGATAATATCTATTTATGGAAAACTTGCGGATGCAAAAATAGGCCTAATACACATAAGAGTACACAATAAAAAATTGTGTGTAAATAATGGCCCACTGAAATGTTTGTATTATTTCAACAAGTATGGTTCATTTAACATATATTTCTGTGCTACTTAACATATTCCCGTGTTAAAGTAACATGAATATTTCAGCGGACCGTTATTTACACAATATCTTTTACCTGGTGCGAAAGAAGAACGTCCAATCAGCGTTACATTCAAAGATAAATTATAAATTAGTAGTCAAGTGTAAACTGGCAAATGCAATCACTACGCAAGAAGAGAGGAGATACGTTCAAATCGTTCGGCGATGTATACATGTGCGCACGCTCGCCGCGGATTTTCCTCGCGCGTCTACGTGGCGCGGCGTGGCGCGCGACGATGCGATCGCGGGTACCGATTCACCGGGAGAATTAACACGCAGCCGTCGCGCGATTAAAGCGACTCTTCTTTTTAAATCGCCACCGCCGGGTAATTATTTCTATCGGCTCGTCCGTCGCGCTTCGTTAGATAACGACGATTTCATTCGCCGTCCCGGCGGGGTCAATATTCCTTACCGAGCGTCACGGGATCCCGGCGCTACCACGGGACGGCACACGGAAGCATATCGTACATCGCCGCAAGACGGATGACCTTCCGAAGGTCAGCGCCTTTGCTCCCCCTACCCCCCGCGCTCTCGCAGCCGTCGGTGGATGTTCACCGGCGGCCGTGTGTGCGGCATGTATACACCCGTCCTACGCCTTCTTGTAAGGCGCGCGAACGCGACGGAAAGAAGCTAATTGGAATCCCCGGTGACTAAATATGTACACACACACACATATATGATATAAAAAAAAAATATATATATATATATATTTTATATCGTGTGTGTGTGTGTGTAATGGCAGTTCGGCGTGGTAATGACAAGGAAAAGCGGCGGTTAAACGATCGTGGCCTTTCTCCTTCCGCGTGCGTGCCGCGTCATTAAGTGACCGAGTATGCCAATCGTTAGTCGTCCTCTTCGTCTCGGTGTTCGTCTTCGTCGTTCTCGCGTGGAGTGACTCTCACGCGATCGATTAACGGCCGGGCGAAACTCGAGCCGGTCGACCTGGCCGGCCGAGCGCCCAGTCGTCCGGCCGTCGTCGTATAACTGTTCGCGATAGCGAATTAATTCGCGAATTAACGGCGCATTGTTTC